TGCCGATTATTAAAAATTCGAAAACTCTTCACCGTGTAATTATATAAAATTATTTACGACGCAAATCTCGACTGCCGATCGGACCGTACGATCTCTCGATCGCTAAACACTCCGAAAGGACCAACTTTCTCGTTCGTGCGGGAAATTCGACGAACAGCTTCCTTACTTTCTCCCCGAACTTTTTCGAGAGAAAAAACGAAAAGGAAAGGAAAGGAAAGAAAACCCGCGCTCGGACCCTCGCTCGATACCGTGAAATATCCCTTGGCTGTTTGTCCGCGAAAAACAAACGGAGAACTTTCTTTCCCGAGGAACGTTTTCCAACGCTCGGCCAGCCGGATTGCCAAAGAAGTTTCAGCGGCAACTTAAGACTCCCGTGATCGAGCACCCACATTCGATTTCACGTCCTCTGTAGTTCTCTCCTCTATTTATCTTTTTTTCTTTTTCTCCATTTTAGTTTTAATGGTCAATAAAAAGAATGATCGAGAGGACGGTTACACCTCCATCGAGTCTCATTTTGTTGTCTTTTCTTTCTTTTCGCGGAATCACGGCGAATTTCGATCGTCCACACGCGGCGGCACCGTTATCGGGTATCGTTACGTATGTAATCGATAAAAGCGTGGAGCAGACGGGACGTGCCTCGCATCTGAATCTACTTGACGTAGTCTCTCTCGTGTCTCAACCGTGCATGCTATCTGCCTCTCTCTTGTCTGTCGATGTCGATGTCGATGGTTGGATCTTCTCTTATCGCGCGTGAGATCTTCGAGGATCACTCGACCAAAACGATTAATAAAAAAAGAAAAAAAAAAAAGTATAGAGTCCAAACTAGAACGTGTATTTTGCTACTTGAGCCGGAACGGTATAACGAAAGAAAGTAAACTAAAAGAGATTATAAAGAGCGACATATCGCGTTGATGATTTTCGAAGATCCGCAGACTCGCGTTCTTTCTCTCTGTAACCGCATCGGCTTCCGATTAGATGCGGAAACGCTTTGAAAAAAAAGAAGAAAATGAGAAAAAAAAGAAGAAGTACCTAGAAACGATTCTATAATCCTTGTCCCTCGAGAAATGCGCCCCCTCTTCCTACCCCCCCCCCCCCCCCCCCCCCCCCCGGCCCCCCCCCCCCCCCCCCAGCCCCCGTCCAGGCGCCCCGAACCGACCGAGCCCAACAAACGAAACAAACTAAACAAACTTATCTCGCGTATTCTAATTCCCCTGTGTGCGATCTACTTGATATACACTTGAAGTCAATTACTCAATTATTAATCCAAAGATGTATACATTATATTATCTATATACATATACATATATTGATTCTAGTAGGAAATATCGCTATCGTATATTGTTTCGTTTTCTTTTCCTTTGGGAATTTTTTCGATACAAACGGATACAAGCGGATACGCCAACACGCCAACACCGAGAGTTGTTAATTAAACGCTCTGCCGAGTTTTTTGATGGAAGGCACGAGACCGCGTACGCGGCTTGAAAGGAAAGACGAGTTTTCAGCGTAGCTCGAAGGGAAAAGGCTTTCAGAGACACGGGGCCGTCTTCTTACGATTGCGATTAAACACAGAGAGAAGGGAAATAATTAATTGGACGTCTAGTTATCCGGACAACTTTGAACGACAG